TGTTAGATCCAAAGTACTAGTAACCTTCTAAAATCTCAGTGATCTGGAAGACAGTATTGGCTGCTAATGGTTCCATGAGCATTTCAGAGCTCACATTTAATTCCATAATTTCTGTAGCCTTGATGTCACGACAAATAGATACTCATGTTAAATATGAAAATGTTAAATCTACAGACCTACAACAGGAGTGTTCCATATACGATACATTGCTGATATTTGATACCCAACTGTAATCATGGTGGTTATTTTTACAGGCACATTTTTTGTGAACATGATACACACTTTAGTCACTTCGCAATACGAAGACAGGAAGAGAACATGCTTTGTGGAGAATATACTGATTCTGTAAGATAAGAAGATGAAAGATAAGAAAAATTTGTGCAGAAAGTAGAAAGCCTAGAAAAACAATCTGTCTGTATACATGAAAGATTTGGTGGATTTGCTGTATGTTGTATTTTATTTGCAACTAAACTTCAACACTAGTCATTACATTCTGGTTGTCAAATTCCCACCTGCAATTTAAAGGAACTTCAGTAATTTTCATTTCCTGCCTTTAACAGTTGTGTGTTTTTGCTCAACTTACTGTATTCCACTCTAGATACAGTTTCACTGTATTTGTGAACTAAAAGGATCAGTTTGAATAATGGAAGTTTTTGGTGTATCTTTTTTGATAGAAGAGCAAACAGAGTCATTCCAGTCTTTTAAATTAAATGTTTTCGTTCATGGCACAGGTTTAGGGTAGATAGGTCTTCATGAAGAAACAGGTATTTCTTGTGTTCCCTGTGGTGTATAATGTACAGGATTTATACCATGTACATTACTGTATTGAAATATTGCCTAAAAATATTTTCTGCCTTACCTATCAATCTGGTGGAAGAAGAATTAAATTCTCTGGAATAGGAATTTTTTGTGAGTACAACTGCAATGAAAATACACATTTGTTTGTTATGAGAAAGCTGAAATGTGCTTATCAAAAGTCTGAGTAAAAAACAGTTTATAAGAAGTTGTTTAAATTTTGCAGTTCATTGTGATTTCTTCTTTGAACTCATGCAGAGATGCAGCATGCACTTTAAACAGCTAGCTGCTGCCTGATGTTGGGCAACATCTGGCAGTTGAGAATGATGGTTGATAAAATGCAGTTAACCCAACAGGCACGGTTTGTTTATGCAATTAGTTGAAATTCAGAGCTGGAATATTCATTCACTGGTTTTGGTTCATGTTTGTTTTGTTTTGTTCTATTTTATAAGCCCAGAGCCCTCCAGATAGCTTCATGCAATTGAGGCTTTCAAGTTATTTAATTTATTACAAAGCTTCTTAGGTAATATTTAAAGAAATTACAGAACCTTTACATCTCATCTACAACAAAAGCCTCGAAACATATGTATTTTTTTTGTGTGTGTGTGTTAAGTATATATTAGCTTAAAAGTATACTGGCTTTTCAATATTTTTGTGTATAGGAGGACGAAATTCCTTACCTATCATGAATCAGTGTTAACCAGAATTGTTTGGGGTTTTTATTTTTGGTAAAATGTGTTAAGATCTTCAAGTGAAAATTAATATATGAGTGAGAAATGTTACTGCACAAAGGTTAATTTGGAATAGATTCTGACCACCATCCATTGCTTCTTGTTTTCATCACAACACTATTTCCAGTAAATATTGAAATTTTTGCCCTTTCTTAATAGCTTGAAACCAGAATGATTAGTAATGGCTGCATGAACATCTCTGGGCTAGTATGTGGCTATACATACATAGATGTTTTTAAGGATGACTGCTGTCAGTTGCATATCAAGGTCTAACCCCTATACAAAATGAGTATCAGAAGTTAGCTGACATTTTGTGGGATGTCCCATGTTGGGGTGTTCCCCCGCAGTCACCTGGGTGGGAGAGAGGTGAATTCGGTTCCATGGGAAAGGAAAACATAGATGATTCGCTGTTCTGTTAATCCCAATTGTTTGTTGAATATTAAAGCAAACCATAAAGCTAGGATGATTGTGGTGAAAATTTAATGTCCTTAATTTAAGAATGACAGACTCTGAGAGCCAGAGAAAGAAGTCAGAAGTGAGCTCCACTGCAGCAGTAATGCCGTAAAAGGAATTCGGAAAGACTGAAAATAAAATTGTAGACAGTGTGTGTTACTGGAGTCACCCAAAGAAGAAGTAACTCTATGGAGAAAATGTTCTAAGATACGGAGGATTTCCTAATAGTTGTTCCTACTGCTGGTACCCTGTTGAATTGAGATGTCTTTTCATGCTTAAATAGCTTATACGTGGTGGAAACAGTTCAATCTTCAAGTCTTCTAACTTTCCGGAGCTCAAAAGCAGTTTGGCCTGCAAAGGGAAAGAAACCTGTTCAAATGCAGCTTTTTTCAGCCTCCTGATATTCCTTGAACTGATATATTTTTGAGACCACATCGCAGCCCATTCACAAAATATTCGTGTTGTAACTCCATGTTCGCACCACTGTCGTTAGTTGCCTCACAGTAATAGTAAGAGTAAAGGGAATTTGACGGTCTGGTGCAAGGGAACACTTCAGAAGTGAGAAGCGCTGACACTGCTCGGATAGTGCCTCACTTCCTCATAGTGTCCCAGGTTAGGAAGATTTGTTACTATAATTCTTCGATTATTACAATGTTGTACAGGAAGCAGTTCTCTGTTTGCAAAGAAGCCATATTTTTTTGCGTAAAAGCAGCTATAAAAATGTCTAGAATGCAGCTTGAAGCTTCCCTTCTTGTTTTGTTCAAGGATAGTTTTAGGCAGGCAGCTAGGCAATGACAGATTTAAAAAGTAAGTCTTCCTAGGGAGGCAGATTGAGCCTCACAATTAGGTGGCTTTCAGCCCCAAGTGGCTGTGAGAATGGAGTGTGAGTTGTGTCTTCCCCTGTGGCTGCAGAATCAGTGGATCTGGCTTGGTAAATGCTTATTTAAGAAAGATGGGAAGACTGGACTAGATGATCATAAATCAACTACACTATGTTAAGTTGTTTTGGAAGTTAATGTACAAAAAGTCCTAAAGGGCGAAATTTTCATTAATTACTTTGGTACAGTGGCTACAATAGTTTGCTTTAACAAAAGTAATAACATGAAAGAATGAGCGCTCATAACTACCATAAAGCTTCTCTTTGCTCTTACATACAAATCAGGTCATTAAGGTAGAAAGAGACTCTAAGTTCAGTTCTGATTAGTAACTTCTCGAGCTGCGTATTTTATAGGCCAGCATGAGAGGAACTGTTATTCAATGTCCCAAACAGTGCAAAGTTTGATTCCAGGTGCAGCTGTAAATATTTTATGTAAGTGCAGAAGTCTGTGCAGCCTGCATGATTTAACTAGGTCAGATAATGAAAATTATGTATTAAGATACATCTCCTTTTTTTTCTGGACTTCCAGCAGTTATTTCTGATCTATGGTTTGTGTATTGTAGATTTGTACGTTCATGTCTGCTGCACTGTGTGTTTTACAGCTGTCTGCTCCAGGTGTTTTCATTATGACTGGAAAGAAGCATGTATAATATTTGTAGGTGTGACCTGAAAGTTGGCTAGTTGTTACTTTATTACATTATCCTTTTAGTTTTATGCTTTACCTGAAAGTCTTAACGCTTCCGTTGAGTTGCATTAAAAATGTATAGTTTTCTAAAGAAAGTTACTGCTATATCCATCCATTTTAATTTGGCAATTTTGTATTTTGCTTTGCAATAATTCTAACATGACTGATAATTTTTTTTTAGAATTTGAGTCATTGAAGACATTACTAATTATGTAGAATGCATATACTTTCATTTCATGAACTGTGGTAGGTGAAGAATTATATTTAACTGTGAAACTTCCTAAATGTGGCAGGTGGCACGCAGATGAGCAATGCAGATACAGTCTACAAATGGCAAGTTACTTGAGCGATAATTTGAGACTTCGTAAATGGAAATGGGTCAGTTGTAGAGTGTACAGGATCATCTTTAGACAGGAAGAGTAGACATTAAATTAACATATTTTTTCTGCTTTGTGTGATGAAACACTTTGGACTTAGCCTCACTGTTACCACAACAGCCACGTAGTTCTGAGTCCTTGATGTTTGTATGATGCCCTTTTAATAAAATTACATGCTCTGTAATAGTCAGGCTCAAAAGCTGCTTGTGCTGTAGGTGTAACAGCAGGTACCAAACAGCTCTGTACCTATACACTTAAATACTGAGTGACTTGTCCCTGTGGCAGGATGAATAGAATATCAAATTGGAGTTTGAATCCTGTATCTGACTGCTTTCTAGGAGATGTCTGTGGATGTGCTAATACTTACGGACTTTCTTAAACAGTGTTATTTACTATATAGTGCAGAATTACAGTATTGGGAGACAGGAGATACAAAAACGCAATTAAGAGGCTTAACGGTATGGATCTCCTCTAGGCTTTAAGCTGCATCTATGCTAAATATTTTGCCCTTGCTCAGAGACAGCCTGCATGCTTGCAGCTCCAACCTCTCAGCTGCAGTCAGCCCTGTAGAATATTGATCACCTTTCAGTTTTATTTATCCGTGTTCTACCCAACCAGTATCTTTCATCTCTAGGGAACTAAACATTGGCAAAAGTATGTTCTGTTTACTTGGTAGCAGCATGGCTTTCACATTATGTTCTCCCAGCTGCTTTGAAGTTCCTTACCCTAGCTATCTTATCACATAGTGTTTGTTTTAGTTCTTTCCTAGATCAGCTCCATCTCTGGTTTCTCCTAACTCTAGTATGAGAAGACTTTGATATAAAATTGAAAATGGAGGTTGAGTTGTAGATAGGTTATTCATTTAAAGCATCTCCCAGCTTGTCTCTGGGGGAGCTTAGGACAGTAAGCAGTTCCATAACAGTGACAGGAAAAAAAAAAATTCAAAGGGACAAGAAACTTGTCCAGTCTGTGCGATTAGAAAGAAGGGTGATGTTCTAGGCAGCGTGCTGTAGGACAGTTACGAGAAAACTCTGTAGTAAATAATTACATTTCGGATATGGGTTTTTGTTTTGCAGGACACCAGCTCAGTAACTGTGCCAGAAACGCTGTTGTTTGTTTCAACTCTTGATGGAAGTTTGCATGCTGTCAGCAAGAGGACGGGAGCAATCAAATGGACTTTAAAAGAAGGTGAGCAGGAGGTGTCCTGATGCCCTCTACTCAGGAACAGTAGTAACAGTCAAATCAGTGGAAAATTCAGACTGTTGTAGGGCCTGGTGAATACTTTTGTTTCTTTCTTATTTTTGCTCTTGCTCCAGAATTAAGCTACAGTGTTTCTGGAGTCATGTTTGTCTTCGTGTTTTCACACTTGCAGATCTTTTCCAGGTTTATGGTTTGGTTTTTTTTGCAGAATGTTTAAGCTGTAGTGGTATAATTGGTAGGTATCGTATTTTATGGGAATGAGTGCAATATAAGCAAGCATAGAACAGAACAGATGTCAAATGAGAGTGTCAGCTGGTGGAACTGGTGGCAAAGGGTTTGCATGATTCTGTCCCTGGAATACCCTACATTCAGTGGGGCAGTGGATTGTGCAAACCTCGTGTCTTTTTTCTGTAATAGATGTTTAGGAACAGCACAATTTTTTAAATAAAAGAACCGCACTTGTGTAAAGAAATTGAACATTGCTTAGTGACTGGAAGTGATTTTGTAATTTTAATTACTGAGCAGAGATAGCTTTTTCTGTCTTCATTAAAAATTCAGTATTTAATACAAATTTATTTCAGTGGGACTCTGAGTACATATGGTAGCAGTGATAGTAGCATTTTCTCTTCACGTTGGGAAATAAATGAGAAAGCAGGTCAAATGGAAAGGAGACAAAGCGATTGCATCATTCTGTCCTCTGTTTTTAAACCTGATGTTGGTTTAGTAGGTGAACTGAAATGGTAGGAAATGAATTATGCGTATCCAATGTCTGCAGTACAAACCAATTGTTCTTATTTGTGAAGCCATTTATGTTCGAATGCGAATCTACCAGACAAAAACTTATATTTATAAATGAGCAAAGAATGCTTTTGTAGCTCTTCTTGGAGTAAAAAGGAGTGAGCAAGTATTTTCTTGAAGGATCTTGGTTAACAGATGTGGTTACATTTTCTCCCCTCTCTCCTCTTTAAATTTAGACCTCTTCTTTCTCTGAAAAAGCTTGAATTAAAAGAAGTTACCAGCCTCCTCCTTTGTTGTTGCTGTAGGCTACTGCGGTGTTGAGACGCTTACTGTTTTTTGCTTGTCACTCAGCTGACATGGGCATACACTGCATAGTCCTGTCGTAGAAGGACATTATAATTGGCATTTGTTTGCAGCCAAACTTAGTAAGTGGCAAGAAGTTTTTTGAGAAGAAATGAAGGCACTTTGGTAATGAAAAGGAGCCTGGTCAGAGTGTATCGCTCAAGGAACTTCCCTTGTTCAAAAGTTGTTGCAAAACTATTGTTGATACAGTAGAACTGCCAGGCTGGATAATCTAGTTTTATAGGACTGATTTTTTTCTTGCTGTCGCTAACTATGTATTATTCTGCATCTTATGTACATGAGGTGTGTTCAGTTGCTTTTGCAAAGCACTTACTGCCCATTAGTTTATTTCTGTGTAACAGATCAACACACAAGGGTCAATGAAAATTAGTGGTAGTTATTGTTACAAGATGCTTCATCAGTTAACTTAGTTAAATGTACATGGAACAAGGGCCTATACATATAATTGGTGAATTAATTTGTAATTGGAGGGGTTTTATTCATTTTTGCGTAACTGTTTGTGGAAGCCAAGCAAAGATGTGACAATGCTGGAAACCATTAGCCCATAAAAGTCCTTACCATCTCATTGTGCTAAATCCCTGGAGAGATTTAATAGTGCAGAATTTAGTATTCATGTTAGTGTATAAACACAGTTGTTAGGTGCGCGTTCTCTGTCAACAATATGCTTGTATTGTTGTAGAGAATTACCCAGTGGGAAGCTGCACGCGTTGCAGGCAGTGTTCTTGCAGGTACCTTTTTACCCTGATAATCAGACAGTGAACCATGTGTTATAGCTCATGTGCTTTGAGAAGTTGTGGAGGTCACCTGAAGTGCTGCAGAGGCATTCATCAGGAAGAGAACATTTTATAACTGCACTTAAGCAGCAAGGTATTTAACAAAGGGCAACTCATATACATTTTATTTTCATTGGGGAAAAAAACAAGGCACTGTTCATTATCAGGCAGTACTTAAAACAAACATGAAAATCTTGCCATGTGTGGTTTGTTTTAATTCGGCACTGAAGCTTATCTTAGGTGTGCAGAGTAAATGAGCCAGTGGTTATCACCGCAATAATATGTTTGGGTTTCCTGCCTTCATGTAGTGCTGGCGAGAAACGCAGTCTGAATACTTGTGCTCCCTGTAAAGCAGGCAAAAAAATGGGTCAGTAACAGGACTGTCCAGTAGTTCAGAAATAAAGATGCTTTCCCTGCAGTTACGTGTCGGGAGGTTGTGGGCCTGTTTGTGGAGGGTGCTGAATACCTTCATTTCTTGTTGGCTTCAGTGCGTCCCACTATCTGACAGGTCTCAGGGTTTTCCAGGGGCCCAGTAACTGATGCGGCTCATTCCCTGGGCTTTGGAAAGCTGGAATATGGTTGGAAAGTTTAGAGAAAGAACCCACACTCCTCCTCCCCCCAGATTTCTGGGGCACCTTCGCTCCTGCTGCGGCCCCACAAAAACACATTATATTGAAAGGCACTCACCTGAAAGGGTGTGGAAAGGGTGTGGCGTACATTTAAGATCAGAGACTCAGTAAGGCTCTTGGTGCCATCTCTGAGCAGTAAAAGGAGCTCTCGGCTGTAAGTGACAGTGTGATAGGCTCCCATGTTTTCTGCACTTGCCGCGAGCGAGATACTTAGTAAGCATCCCCTGTAAGTTTACTTAGGATGAAATCTCTTCCCCAAAATTGCTGGAAATGAAACTTCTGTCGTTTCCAATAGATCTCTTTGAAAGGTGCAGGGGTGCAGCACTGTAGGCTTGCTCTTACATGCAGTCAAGAAAGTAGGCAGTGATAGAGATGGTGATGAGAAACCGGTTGGCAAGACGGAATCTGGAGAATGCTTTTCTCCTTAATGTTAGACTTTATACTCACAATTCTGATTTCAGTGTGAGCTTTAAGAATGTGATTTTAAGACTATCCTGTTCCCTCACATCTTTGTAAAAAATGTCCCATACATCTTTGTTAACTCAAGAGCTTAGGTTAATGGTCATAATATTGAACTTTGAGATGCAAAGAATGCAGTGTTTCAGAGTGTACTCTTGGACAGAGTATTTCTCTGTTCTTCTGACAGTCACTTCTGTGTGTCCTTCTGTACTGTTCAAAGTGATCTCTTTCTTTTCATTCACCAGCTCCTTAAGAGCTTTTCCACTAAGAACTAATTCAAAGTAATCTGCCAGAAGAACATATAATATACGCAGATTTGGGTCTAGATTTAGAGCTTGCAGCAATTTTTGTTATGATCTTCAGTTCTCTGTAGAAATAAAAAAAAAAAAAGAACGGTGGACCACAATCAATTTAAAAGGTTTTGATTTCTGATACCTTAGTCATAACCTCTGGACTTCAGTGGACTAGTCATGATAAGCCAAAGATATAGAGACTGTGCCTATTAATGGCATGCAGTATGTAAATTCTAAAGGGCAAATCTGAGATCTGTAGGTCCTGCTCTGATAACAGTGGTTATTCCTAGGCAAGAAGAAGTATCTTTGTTCATAGATGTAAATGAATAAGGATTGTCAAAACAAAACAATAGTAAACTCTACTGTTTTCAGCAAATTCCAGAGGATAGTTTGTTAGTTTCTCTAACCTCATTTACAGTAATTGCAACGGCAAGTGAGGATGACATGATTTTAAATTGGCCCGTTAGCCCAAATCTTATGGTGGGGCCTCAGGTCAGGAAACCGTTTTTTCCAGCTCATTCCAGTGGGGCAGTGACTTACCCGTTTGCTGTTTCAGAATCTCCCACTTCTTCTTTTCAGTCATTGGTTTTGTATGTTCTGCCTAAGGGCACATTACAGCAATGAAAATGTGCAACTCTGTCTTGTGCGTTAAAAAAGAATTGTTTTTTGGGCAAAGTGCAAATGTTGTCTTACCATGTGTTTGTGAAATATGGAGAAAAGTCAAATGCATTATATTTAGCATTATGGTTGGAGTTTCAAAAATTCTATAGATGGCTTTTTTCCATATATGTATGCCAAATACGAGTCAGAATTATTTCAGAATAATCTGAAATGCGTCATATACTTCTGCCCACTGACAAGCAAATGATACAGGCACAAGTATTTTCTGGCCGTGATGCAGCCAGAGCTGTATTTGGACATCTGCCTGCTGCCAGGTCAAAATCTTAATTTCAGGGAGGCGTAACTGAGCCAAATAATTTACTAAATTACTGGACAGTCATTATGTTAGCAGGTTTCTATAACTGCTGTACTTGTGAATAAACTCTTAGAGTTCTAGAATAAATCTTTATAATCTAGGATCAGTGTCCTTTTAATTCCTTTTTTCTTGACACAGTTATTTTACAGATCTTTTTATTAACTTGTAAAAGTGAAAACTTTTCAGTTCTTACAGGATAACGTTTTTGAAGTCTCACCATGACAAGGAGAGGTATCAGCAGTCGTTTTAATGGCATTTGTATTCTACTGATGCCCTTGAACTCCCTGTGCTTGTGGGTGTTAATATGCTTTGCTGAATTAATTTAATGAAGTGCATCAGCGGCAATGATCTGGTAATACACAAGCCAGTGTGTATTGAATTGTAGGATTATAGTGTAGGAATCATTAACATAGTCTGTCTTAGCGGAGGCTGCAGGGAAAACAAACTGGAAACCCATGGAAGTATCTATAGAAAACTTGATCTTCCCTCCAGCACTGGAGATATTTACAGGATGGCATCCTGCTTCCTAACTCACACCCCACCCCTATACTGCATAGTTATTTTGACATCTTTGTTTTTCGAGTGTAGAAAGTGGAAAGCTTTTGGACAGGATATCATACCAGAAGCTTCATGTAGGACATTGCAAGAAGTTGCCTTTTCCTCTGCAACAGGGAATGGAAGCTGAAGGGAGAGGCAGATTTATTTTTATCACAGTTTTATCACATGTTCTCTGTAAAGTTTTTATTCCGATAAAGAATACTTACTGCTTTGTTCAGTGGTCATTATCACTCTTGTTAGTATTGGAACAAATTGGGCCTGTTAGAATGACTTATCTAATTACAGGGAACTGCAGTTCAGGGAAATTTTGAAAGCAGGATTATGTGATTACAGTCTCAGCATGTTAACACTTGAGTGCTGAGCTGTTGAAGAGGAGATAAGGCCTCAGTTCTCTGACTTTTGCAAGAAGTTTTTCCGTTGAACGCATTGTGGAGCAAAAGGTGACTTCAGTTATAAGACGACTCATGCTTTTACTCGTTTGTGTTCAAGCATATGAAAACTATTGTGAGACCTGACAACAATAAATTAAACTCAAGATTCTCTTTTATCTCAGAGTGAGTTCTTATTTCAAAACAAACTTTGAAATGAAGTTGGACTGTGTCCCAAACCACATGAAAGTGAATGTGAAGAGTTCATTGTCTGTCTTCAAAGTATCTTCGCAAGAGCTACAACCTTAGTTCAAGATCTTGAAAGTGTTAGGAAAATGAGAGAATTTACATCGCCCCAGTAGCTAAAAATGTAGAGAAATGTCTCTCCACAGCCCAGCATTCCAGGTGGATGGTGCTAGTAGTGAGAGGAGAATTCCTTTCACTTCAGAAAAGAAAATCCCTCATCAGTTTGTGTTCACTCATTGTGAATAGCCTCATGCATGGAAATTAATCAGATATTGATACTAGATGCTTTCTAACAGTTCCTATACAATACTTAAATGTTGCAGGAAGCCATCAGAATAATCAGTGTTTTGGTTCATGTGCCAGTAAGTACTAAAAAAATTTCCTTCTGCTTTGTAATAACATCTTAAACTTTTCCATCTACCTCTTTTTTATCATTGTTAGTAAATCAAATTTCAGTTACTGAGAAAACAAGTACAAGCAGGATTTCTTCAATTCTGATAAAGCACTGTTGATATTGAAGACATGATACTAAAGAAAAGTTTAAGGACTTCCTCATGAGCATGATGCTTCTCTACACCACACATTGAACAGCTTGGAACTTGTCATAAGGCTTTCAGTCATGTATTCTGATATACAAGAGTGCTTCAGAAAAACTCACTACAGAAGTTTGAGACATTCACGGGATTTCTGGCATCGTGTGTTAAGGTGTAGGATGCATTTGTTGATAAAATTGTTGTAAGCGGCATTTTTCCAACAGCTTTCAGAAATAGAAGCCTAGGGGTAAAAGCTTAATGCAAGTAGATATTACATTTATATATGTGTGTGTGTTCTTGCACTGTTATGGTACTACATGGTTGATAAAATAATGCAAAACTTCTCAGACCTTTGAGATAGCTGGAGCAGTGTGGAGCGCTTTTAAAAGTAAATTACCCAGTCTTAGAAAATTAAGTTAAAACAAGTTATTAGTCCAAAAATGCTGTACTGTATTATTATTATTCACTGTGTTTTGAGGGCAGAGAGGGAGATATAGGAAAGCATTGCTAACCAGACTCTTCTGCAAATGTCATGGACAAACCAGGATCAGTTGCTAGAAAACATAATCTGCCTGTTGAAATTTCCTGTAATTGTTCAGATTTTCCTGAGCATTCGTTGAAAAAAACCCGAAATACTGATATGTTTGAGGAAATCACATTCTGTCCTGTTCTACTGTAGAGTGTGTGTTGTGTTATGTCTGTAACAGTGCAGTTAGAAAATATGGAACTTGATTCAGATAGTGCTAGTTTTATATGATGATTTCATGTAACAACTTCATACCTCCATTTAATTCAGAGAATAAGCAGTCCTTTTATTAAAATTAAATTTAAAAGTTTCTGAAGATAATTTGGACAAGAAACTATTTTTTGTACTTTGCCTCAGCTGACTAGAAAGTTATTTTAAAGAAGATCTGCATTACAATGTATATGCAGTCAGTCATCACTTCAGAAACAAGTTGTGCAGCTTTGTTATCACTAATGATGATTTGAGGAGATGTTTGTAGATAGGACAAAGTGGCGCAAGCACTGTTGGGGGAGATTGCTGTTGTCTAGCAACAGTCATCATCACCACAGGTGACAGGTTATTTTTTACCAAGTAAGACACTCTCAGTGTAATCAGTTCATCAAGACACTTGCAAAATTTATTTGGCTTTTGCCTTTAGCAATGCTTGTATCATTTGCATTAAATCTTACTTCAACTGAGACAGGTGCCATTTTCTGCTGATTGATGCTGCTGTTTCTTTCAGAAAACTGTGAGAGTTTCCCTTCCCGTGAGGCATTTATGATTATAAAAACTCTCCCGTATGGTCTTTAATGTCTCTTTCTTCTTTTAGTTCGTTTCACCTAGACTTAGGGATACACTGAGTGTATAAACTTGATGTCTGTTTGCTTTTAGTAGTTCACCCTAGCAGTTCAGGTCCAGGGTTGAACCATGTTATATACTGGTCATCCAGTGTTTTTTTCTTGCTTGCTTTTCTTTAGTAATGGAGAGATGGTGTTGTAAGTCACCACGTGTTGCATTAGATATCGCAAAGCTCATGGAATAATTGAAGCAAACACTGAGAAATAATGGGCATATAATCAACTGTGAATTTGGAGCAGAGCGGTCCCTCCCAACATATCCTGAGACCAGTTTCTTCACACAAAGGATAGAAATGAATTGCTTGATGTAGTTAAGTAAAGGTCTGACTAAGCAGCATGGTCTGTAGAGACAGATACATAACAATGAATCACTTAGCTCCTTTGTTTGAATGTTAATTATTTTTAGGGCCTCTTGATGTGTGCTTGGGTTCTCAATAAATTAAATAGGGTTTATGATATGATGTGGAGCTCTACACTTATATAGCATTCCCATCTTACATCAATGAACAGTGGTAATAGTGATAATTCATCATTAAGAGAAAAATTGCTGGAGATAGGTACTCTTGCTATATGTCTTCTATGACTATATCTATGACTATATGCCAGTGCCTAGGACTGTTAAGAGCACCAGCTCTTAACATTATCTTAACCTTATCTCAGCATTTTTGCTGCCCTGTGTGTAAGGCTCTGAGTATAAGATAACGTGACCGGGCTGTGTCTGTGCCCTCCACTGGGTTTCCTCCCAGATCCAGCAAACAGCTCTGCAGGGTCCTTGCATTAGAGGGAATTCGTTGTGAGGGAGGGAGGCTGTGTTTGACGCTGTGCTTGCCAGTGTGGGAGATACCAGTGCAGTGCTGAGCAGCCATGTGATGGGGGAAATGGGTAACGCGTGAGGTTGACAGATCTGCCCGCTGAGCAGTGAGTTTGCTAGGCATAGTATGATTCAGTGCTTGAGTAGAGCACTGCTCCCTCTCCAGTTAATTGGGTTGTTCACAGAAGCTTAATATGCTTTTGAGTAGAGTATTCTGACAGCTTTGAGGATCTATCTGGAACATTTTTTAGGCCTAAAGAGAAAAAAAAACCCAACGTAGTTCTGTTTTGAACAAAGCAGCTCTGAGAGTATTTACTATTGTAAAAAGAAATTGGTGAAAATAAAAATAGCTTTACTGTTATTCCTCAGATTGTGCTTTCTTTCTGTCTCTGATATTATATGTGTATCTTTTGGTGACTACTGTTTTCAGAAGCATTGCTGCTAGAGATCTGTTTGGGTAGGGGTTTTCTTGTGTTTTTTTAATCTGTTAGATAAAAATGAAGAGACATGCACCTAGGCTGTCATCATCAAACCCAGCAGTTCGTGTGGTACCAATGCAGAGTGGTAGACATTGTAAGACCCGTGTAATGAACCCTGAATTTCTTGTTCTTGTGTTGCTGAGCTCTGTGAATACCACAGTACAGAGCTCTGTGAATACCACAGTACACTCAAGCTGTCCAGAATCAGTGCCAGTTTCCTGGTCAAAGGCTTGAAAAACATTATTGGTTTTGTTCTTATTTCCTTCCTGTAGCATCCTGATGTTTGCATCGAGGCAGAACAGGTGAATAAACAGTATTTGTTTGCTTGGTCATCTTTCATCTGCTTATTCTAGTGTAATGGTTTGATTTCTCCTGCAGAAGTGAGGATACGTTGCATCCTCTTGACTTCTGAGTTACTTTCTGCCGGTATACCCATAAAGAAGCACACACATTAGTCTTGGAAATTGTAGAGTGTGTCTTACAAATCTGAGAACTTTTGTGGGTTTGGCATGAGGATTGAAAATCCCATGATTCAGGATTTTTTTTAGGCCTCAGACAGTAATTTTGAGGATAACATCACCTTACATTAAAATTATTGTTCTTAATTTACCTCTTAAATATGTAAGGATTTAGATGTATCATTGTCAGGTTTTATTTTGTAACTTCTGTGAGATTGTTTCCAAAGCTTTTGATTTTTATGTAATGTGGATTCTTGGATAAATTTTAGTGGGGAGATTATTTAAGTGAAAAATTGGGTTTGAGGTGATTTTATATAGCCCTTGGCAGACTTCTGTTTATCTTTCCAGTGACATGATGATCACGGAGGTTTTACCTTGGAGTAGGAAGTGGGACTAGGTTTTTTTCTGACTTGTGTCGGAGTCTTGCTCTGAAGTCATTGGCAGTCTTCCCGTTCGTTTCAGTAGGTGTAGCACTAGGCTTTCAGTTTGTGTGTTGCATTTTAAATTAAGTGTTGAGAAGTCTTTAAGCAGAAGGAGAAAAGTTAAGATATAATACAGTGCTGCTGTCTTCTCTGACTCTGCTCCCAGGAGTAGCTGGGGAGTAGTGTGGACAAAACTGAGCAAAGAACTTCAGAAGGTTTAAAACCTCTCAGGTGCTTTGTACTTTCCCATTTTACAAACCTGGTTTCACAACCAAACCGGACATTGTTGAGGCTGCTGAGACGGCCCCTTTCAACCTCTCTGCATCAGCCTTTCAAAAAGGAGCAAGTTGTTGCAGGCCTGACTTAATCCTCTATCTAGTGAGTTCAAGGAATTGAATTGCCAATATAATGACTTTTTCTGTTTATGCAGATCCTGTACTCCAGGTGCCAATACATGTGGAAGAGTAAGTGTGTTTCCTTTATCTCATTTACTGCTTGCTCGATTTCACTAATGTCTTGAAATTTGGTTTAATTTGGACCAAAACTATCTGTGTTCTAGAACAGTTGCATATGTTGTGTAAGTCAGCTTAATGTGATTTGGAGAGCAGATGCAGAAAGGATATAATCAGCTACATACAATTCTCTTATTTGTAGCACTAAGAAGAAATACCCTGTCTGCAGACTGCTCTCTCAAGCTCTTGCTCAAGTTTAGAGATCAAGTGTGCTAACTGTGCCACAGCCTTAACTGAGGAGCTTTAAAAATGCCAGAGACAGCTAGGGAGTGATCTCTGGGTCTTATTCTCTTCCAATAAAAGACTAAAAATAGTGGAGCATAGGAAACTCCAGCCACCACCACTATCAGAATCTTCAAATGAAACCTTCAAGCTGTTACTTCAGAGTAGTTCCTCCAGCATAGCAATCTCACATTTACCTAGAAAATCTGGGGCTTTAACTTTATGTCTCTGAAGTCGGTGGTAACATCTTTTCTTTTATGTGGTTTGTTTTAGATGTTGGGTTTTTGTTTTGGTTTGTTTTTTTTGTAGTTTGGGTGAGGGATGCCTTTGCCTCGCACATTTACTTAGTTCTGGCAACTCTTATTGTTCCTTGCCTTCCTTATGCTCTCTGGTTTGGTTTATTTGTTCGATTTGTTTTTAATTCTGTGGCACTTTAAAAGCATATAGATCTTGTTTAAAAGCTTTCACCCAAGTGATTGCCTGCCACGTTTGGATCTTTGGATTTTCTAATGTATTAGTAACCTTATGTTAGATCAGTTCTGAAACTTATTTATAATTTTTATTTTCACAGTTAATAAACGAAACTTCAAGAAATGGATAATACAAAGTAAAAAATGTAATGTCAGATGAACTTCTCTGTAAATCCAGTACTGACCATAGTTGTTTTCCAGTTCTTTGAGAAGCACAGTACGCTTTTTAGCATTTATAATTGCTGCTTAAATCCTAGGCCAGCATTTCTTCCAGACCCAAATGATGGCAGTTTATATACGCTTGGTGGCAAGAATAGTGAAGGCTTGACCGTAAGTATATTTTTTAAATTCTCCAGTCTGATAATTTTTGGAAAAGTGCTCTAATCAGATAAAGGATAAGATCCTAGTGGAACGTTCTGCTTTCTTGACAGTACTGTGAAGTTTTGCAGGCTTCTGTTACGTTTAATGGAAGTGCACTAGATTCTTGGAAAACCTTGATCAGAGTAGCCAAAAACCAGTGTCCGTTGCCTGTGCCAATGTTAGGATACAGGTTTTCGCCACAACAGTGCCCTACGTTGTGTTGCTAGCACCTTTGCAGAGTGAAAACATACTTTATTTTATTAGAGCAGAAAGTGGCCACCTTTCTTGTGATCATCGGTAAATAATTTTTATTTGAAAATATCAACAACACATATGTTTTGTCCACTTGTGCTATTTTTCTGCATTGTGCTAAAATAATGATGATGACGACAAATAAAATTTATGTGCTATTATCCAAATACTGAGTAATCTCTGTACAATTTGATGGGGAAGGTGTACCCAGAATAATGCAAATCAGATATGTCACTTTTACCCAAATACTTAATTTTCTAAAACCATCTGCCAAAAGGCAGAATTAATATATGTTCTGTGCTGACACCTTTGGAAGATGTCGTTTGAAGATTCAGTAAGCAGACAAAAATGCTGAACCTTTTCAAAATAGTCACCAATCCACATAACTCTCAGATACTCGCTAACATTTGACTTCTATTTTTGATAAAACTTTGTGGTGATACTCACATAAAATTTTTTGCTTCCCACAAGTTTCTTTTCTCTGGAAACTGCTCTGATTTCACTTGAGAATGTTAATATTATTAAATATTTTAGTATTTACTCAGCACTCCCCCTGCCCCCCAGTACAGCCAGATCAGAACTTGCAAAATGATTCTTGGTTCTTTTCCCAGGTGAATCCAGGAAGGAACAATCTAGTTGAATCTATTCCTTTATTCTGTTCATCTCCTCTCTTTTTGAATTAGAGTAATTTAATTTCTGTTTAGGATCACTATTATGTAAGTTTAAAGCAAGAGTGGAGTAACTCTAGCATATTTACGTAATCTTGACAAAGGCCTGATCTTTATTGTTGGTGCACCTTGTCTGTTACTCTTCCGACCTCATCCCAATAAAAGTCTCTTAAAACTCGGTACGGATCGTCACCCATTCTGTAAGTGCAATACAGGCTTGGCAGAATCTCGAGAACTCTTCAGTCGGAGATTCGTGGTTTGCCCTCTCAACAGTTTCATTTGTGTGAAGATATCTGGCGTTTATAAATGTGACTGTACGGTCCTGTGGAGAAGCATTTTATACTCGTTATAGGTGAGACAGTTAAACCATGGTATGTTGAAGCCCAGACAGTTTATATGGTAGACCTTAGAACCACAGAGCCTTGGCCTCCTAACCTCTGGGCTGCAAGTAGTTCTCCCATTCTAGATGCATTTGTTCGGTCTGAGACAGACTTCTCTCTGGTCTGGGTTTGCAGAGCAGGGCCCTGACTTGGAATTTTGAGTTCTCGGGCACTGCAATAATACAAACAAGCAATAAAAACCTGTCATTTGAGACTTTGGAAGTTTTCTGACCACCCTTTTCTGCGAACAAATGTGAAGACTATCACAGCAATGTGAATAAGCTTTTATTGTTGTTTTTTTTCCCTAGAAACTTCCATTTACTATCCCAGAGCTGGTGCAGGCATCTCCCTGTCGCAGTTCAGATGGGATCCTGTACATGGGTGAGCCCAAATTTAATCTCTTTTAGATTGAAATGTGTTCAGCGACTACAAAATGTAGACTCCCAGACAGATTACATGGAAATATGCTTTATTTTGGGTATTAATTACAGTTTTTCACAAACCTTTCTGATTGTAGAAGATCTAATTAATATAGAATTCAATTACTGTATGAAGATTTAAAAGCAACTACTTTTGCTGAAGGAGAAAATAGCTGTTCTAAGCAGTGAATAGCATGTATGGGGTTTTTTGGTTTCTTGAGATGCTATCTTGCAACAAAATGTGACTTCTACTTAAAGACTTCTTACGCTTACAAATGTCATTGACTGCCTGACAATTATATTTAAATACAAAATCACACTGCAGCATGGCTAGACATCCTCCATTATCTGAGACACCGTCAGTTCATTTATACTACAAATAATAACGAATTTATGGCTCACTGTCCTGACTCATTCTAATTGCAGATGGATTTGGGAGGAGAAAGGGAGAAGGAAGGACAGATACTACTTATCACAACAGTGAAGTGTTTGAAGGATCAGGATGAACTTGATATTGGCTTTTTAATCTTCTGAAGGCCCAACACCTACTTCTGGTTCTCCACTTTGCATCTTTCCAGTAAAGGAGTGAAAAGTGTTTATTTGAAGCTTCTAAACACAACACATACGTGTTAGTGTCAAAGAAATATTTAAGGTCGTGGCTCACATAGTCTTGAATGGCCTGTAGTGATAGGACAAGGGGTGATGGCTTCAAGCTGAAAGAGGGGAGATTTAGATCAGATATAAGGAAGAAATTCTTCACTCTGAGGGTGGTGAGGCCCTGGCCAAGGCTGCCCAGAGAAACTGTGGCTGCTCCCTCCCTGGCAGTGCTCAAGGCCAGGCTGGATGCGATTTTGAGCAGCCTGGGCTGGTGGACGGGGTCCCTGCCCGTGGCAGGGGAGCTGGAATGAGGTGATCTGTAAGGTTTCTTCCAACCCAAACCAGTCTGTGATTCTATGTTAGGATTACAGTCCTTAATCAATTTGAAATGTAGACTCACAATTTTTTTCCACCTACTGTCCTTCAACATTAGCACTTCAGTGTCCTCTTCTGCTAGCTTACAGGATCTTCTACCCTCAGAACTCTGTTAGATATTATCAGCGTGAAAAAAATAATTGAGCCAATAGTACTTACCATTCTAAGTATTGTATTTAGTTTTTCTTGTCAATATTTGGGGTTGGCCAGTAGTGCTAAAGGATGAAACTGAGCCTGACTATGAGAAAATGTTTTATTAAAAATGCTCTATTCATGCTAAGTTCATGAGCCTACTAAAGAAAAACGAAGAATGAAAAGCCTGATGTAAGTGCAGTTTTCCAGCTGAATTGTAATGTGGCTTAAATTGTGATTTCAGGTAAAAAGCAGGATATTTGGTACGTGATTGACCTTATGACTGGGGAGAAACAGCAAACCTTGACTTCCTCTTTTGCGGAAAGTCTTTGCCCATCCACATCCCTCCTGTATCTTGGGAGAACAGGTCATATGCTTTTTTTTCTGCAGCTTAGAAGAAAATTTGTTGTTGTCATTGTTTTTAAAGTTCAGGATCGTAACAAATGACTGTGTGATCAGTTAGGTTTTCAAGTTTATTTCTTAGAAAAACTTCTGTAAATTATGATTTTAGACTGTACACAGGAAAATTATTAACTCTTTATGGCAGGGGAAAGATACTGTTTTTCTTTACTTCGGCAGTAGGCATGGTCTGTTGTTCTTGTGACTGAGTGGCTTTCATATTCTGTTTAACAGTGCGTTCCAGTAGCAGCTGTGAACCCAAGCTTGCTTTGTAAGACACAGCTTTTATAAAAACCGTTTAAAGAAAATGGAGATATAGCGTATCTAGTGAAATTACAAATGTAGTATTCTATATAACTGTTAAAATTAGTCCAATACCATATAGGTGTTAATTAGTAAAGAGGAGTAAGTGTTACAGACTTGTTCTTTAACCTCTATATTAATGTGTTCTTTAAGCGTGATAGTTCAGTTAGAGAACACGGTATGGTGAATTTCAGAATGCCAGGTTTGGAAATGTGTAAGTAAAACAAAGTACATCAGAAGCAGCTGTGCAGTAAAATCAAAATGTTGGTAACGTGGGGAGTAACTGCAGGGCTTGCTCCGAGGTTCCCGTAGATCGGTGTATGAGTGGATCGGGTGTTATCTTTAGCAACAGCTATGAAATGTTTATCAGGAGTGTTGGGAAAATGAAATGCAGAGAGCAGTGAGTGGTGTGTGGTGTTTCGAAGAGTGTCTCAGATTTGAGATGATTGATTCTATTCTCTCATAGGTTTTTTTGCTTCACAGACTGTATATTTTTTAACAGAGTACACGATCACAATGTATGACACGAAGAAGAAGGAGCTGCGATGGAATGCCACCTATTTTGATTATGCAGCTACACTGCCTGATGAAGATCTAAAATACAGTAAGAATTTAATTGCTGTCTTTTTTGTCTTTTTCCCCACATACCAGCTGTGGATTTTGCATACAGGCAATAATATCCTGATTTTTTTTTCTATAATTAATAGGTCAAGCTGTCTGTCTGATTTCTGTACAGTTGATGTGCATATGTCAGTTTTTATCCTTTACAGGCCGTAATACCTAGAGCCTGTTAGGTAGCTTCAGGCAAATTTGAATCTAAGAAGGTACAGCTCTTGAAGATACAGCTCTTTAAAATTTATTGAAAAAAGGCACGAGAGGAAGCAAAGCTAAACTTGGTGCAAACTCACAAAAAGCTTTTGCATTGCAACTGAACTTTTATCAACGTAATTCTGACAACTGATTTGCTGGTCTGCTGTTCTTTTGCAATGTAAGGTGTAATGGACTCCACAGTTAACGTAAGGCTTCAACTGTTAGTATGTGTTATTAAAATTGCATGTCTGTCAGCAGTCCAGATAATCTCCTGTGTATTTGTGTATTGTAGAAATGTCCCACTTCGTGTCTAATGGAGACGGACTGGTGGTGACCGTAGACAGTGAGTCTGGGGACGTACTGTGGATTCAGAATTACGCTTCTCCTGTGGTAGCGTTTTACATCTGGCAACGTGAAGGATTACGGAAGGTTATGCACACTAACGTGGGGATAGAAACTCTGCGGTACTTGACATTCATGTCTGGGGAGGTTGGACACATTACCAAGTGGAAATACCCTTTCCCAAAGGAAACGGAGACCAAGAGCAAACTGACGTGAGCATGAAATTCCTGTTCTTCTCACTGTCTGTTTGACAGAGCTTTCTCATTAAAAAATTATTTATATACATTCAGTTAAGGATTGTTCTACAAGTTTCAAAATGTTGAAAAGAGTACATAAAAGCAGCTTTAGTTCTCCAGACGTTATTTTATATCGTATTCGATCTTTTACTGTCAAAAGGCAGACAAAAAAAAAAGATTATAAACGTAGGAAATGTATATTTATAACTTTTATCAGATGTTCTGTGTGAATAGATTCTTACAATGTGGAATGGAATTGGTTTGTATAATGTCAGTCCTTTCACATTATAAAAAATGTACATAGCATTCGGGTAAATACCAGTCATTGAATAATGCAGAAATAGGGCATGAGTTACGTCAAATGAGTAATTGTGATGTGAGTAATCAACTAATAATGCTTTCATAATTAAAAAGAGTGGCTTCATAGTACAGGAGTACTTAAAACCATTTTACAAAGCCAGGCTTTTCACGAGATAAATACTGGTGATTTGGGAAACTGATGCATTAGTTCTGCAGGACTGTGTTGCCAAGGTTTTAGCTGAGATGGTAAAACATCCATTTGTTTAGTTCTTTCAAAGACATGAAGGAGTGACTGTTGTGGTAAGTTGGGAGCTGCAAGAGTTGAAGGACACTTGCTGAAAAATGCCTTTGTGGAATTAGTTCTGTCCTGGGTTTAGAAAAACTGTTGAAATGGAAACATACATAAAAATATTTTTTAAAAAAAGATAACTTTGCCATAGTAAAGTGGGAAAGGGATCCGATTAAAGTAGAAAATAAAACACCGAAGGCTGTACACCTACAGAAATGTGGTTTTAAATTGCAGATTGCTATCAGGAAATGCATAGCAAATTAAATATTTCATGAAACAATTAGCAGTAAGCCTTAGAATGCATGACCATATTTTAGGAATCATTTCAAATGCTGCAAAGAAGTAACTGTAGCTCATCAGGAGCGGTGCCAAGCAAGCTTAGCAGGAGTGGACTAGAGGTTGCTATGCAGTGTTGTTGGTGCATTGTGGTTAACGTCAGAATTGGTGGTTTGTTCATCAAAATAAAAATAGATAGGAAACTGCTTCGTAGTTTTGTTTTGCTCACGCTGTGGCTGTCCAGGTAGGAAATAAAGATCCTGTTTAACTTTGCTAAAAAAAGAGAGAGTAATCTCATCTCCTAGGCAACCTGTAACTTGGAAGGTCTAATGTCCAAGGTTGTTGAAGCAGTTGCTGAGGGCATAATGGCAGCGTTTACTTACAGTGACTTTGCTGCCAGTAATTTTTGCTTACCCACCAATTCTGACCTTCATGTTTTTATTTAGTTGCTTATATAAATTTTAGAGGGACACATTGCATCCTTAATTGTAACAATAATCTCTCTCTCTAGCCCCGTGGCAGTGCCATACCCTTACTAGAGGGTCCAAAAACAGAAGGAGTCACAATTGAAGACAATGGCGAGTGTGTTATCACCCCCAGTACTGACGTAAAGTTTTCAGGCAGACTGAAAGAAAAGAACAAACTCCACTACTGGAACGACTGGCTGCTGATAGGTACGCGCTCGGCCCTGGGCTGCCGCTCGTGCAGGGTAGCATTGCCATCTGGAGGACAGTTCCAGTCCAAACCTCAGAGCTGTTTTTGAGCTGCTGTAACTCCATCACAATGACTGCCTAAACTCAGGCAGTAATTACTGAATCCTAGTAATCGTTTCTAATGTGTCCTCATTGGTGTATGAATTAATGACGTTATGTATATGGATGCATACTGTTTTTTCCAAGGCCCCTGCTTTATTCAGTGCATAGGATGGAAAGTTCTTAGCTCAGTATGTGGAAAGTTTTTTATTGTTTATTTGCCCCCTCCTTCAGAGAGGGTTATAGGTAATTTATTATTTACTGTAAATATTGTATTCTGGTTCCTTTGGATTTTTTTACTGTGCATAATGTTACTTTAATTCTGATGATATGGATCAGACGGTCATGTTTTCCCCATTGTACAAATGGAGGATTAAGGCACAGAGGCTGAAGAACATATTACTACAGCGTCAGCCTGTCCTGTGTGTCCCAACTCCCAGAACTTTGGAATTGACTTTTCAAGACATTTACAATTTTGCTTGCAAATGAAGAAGTCTGAAGTTCAGTTATAAGTGATGCACGCTTATAATTAAGTGATATATGCCATAGGATCTCCGTGGTAGGGACAGTGTGTAACTTTCGGCTTCTATAACTGCCGCCTTTCTCTTCCTGTGATCCCTTTCTCTGTTAACACCGTCCCACTCTTGCAACACGTCAAGCGGCTCCCTGGAAAGAGTTCGTATTCCTCTGCAAACCTCTGCGCTGAATGACCTGTGCCCTCAGTTTTTTCTCTTCTTTTTCTTTCCTGCTCTTTACATGAGCAGGAGTATTCCTCTGTCTACTCCAGCTGCAAAAGCTGGGAGCACAGTAGCATCTCCCTCTTCTCGCTTACTTGGCTTCCCTGAGCCGAAGGAGTCTGAAGAGCAGTTGTAGCTGAGTGCTGGGTCGAGTCGTGCTTCCTTCTTCTGCAGTGTGATCCATTCCCTTCAGAACCATTTCATATCTGGAACATGAGCTCTGCCTCAAGGCCACATCACAAAGCAAAACTACCTTGAGAGTGAGCCAGCCAGGAGGCACAGTGTGCGTTCCTCTAACAGTCACAAACCAAATCCACAGCCAGTGCTTGAGCACAGAGTTCTTTGGGAGTGTGATCCCTATACCTGTGACTGTTAGGGAAGAACAGAGGGGAAAAATGTTTTCATTTGACCTTTTGTTCTGTAATATTCTCAAGCCTTTTGTAAATCAACTTTATATATGCTCTTCAGCAAAGATGCTGAAATAAAGGATATCTTTCCTAAAAAGGGACAACTTTTTATTTCAACAAATGTGTTTTATTTAAAGGGCACCACGAAACGCCATTATCTGCCCCTACAAAGATCCTGGAGAAATTCCCAAGCAACTTACCTAAGAGGCCTGAAAACGTGATCTTTCCAGTTTTTGGGTTGGATTTTCATGTACTTAGCACGTAGAATCACTAGTATGATGATGTGTCATTCCTTATTTCAGAATTAGGGCCTTCTGCTGCTATGTTTTTCCTGCATGACTTTGGTAGGATTAGAAATTATTAAAAATTATTTAGCAGAAGGGCTAGCGTATAAATGCTCCATTACCCATGAAGATATTGAGCTAACAGAGCTTTCTGTGCCTCTTAGGTTATTGACATAGTTGAAGGTCCCTCAACAGAAGTGCCTACTGTCATTCCAAAGGATATTGAGGAGAAACCTGCTCGGCCTGTCGCTCGGCCAGAGGCTCCTGTGGACTCCATGTTGAAAGACATGGCCACGATCATTCTCAGCACTTTCCTGCTTGTGGGCTGGGTGGCTTTTATCATCACTTATCCAATGGTAATGCTGACTTAGCTTGATGTGCTTTTGAGTTTTGGGAGTCAGTATCATGTTACAGCCCAAAAAATGATACAGGAGTTAGAAAGTAACGCACTACAGGGTTTGTTTTTTTTCCCCTCCTCACAGATGTGCAGGGGGTAGCAAAGGCTGCAAATTTGACCTAACAGTGATTTCTCTGGGCATACGTGCCAACTGTGGAGATTTTTTTTTTTTTCCATCCCACCAGTTCTGTTTTTTGTATGTGTTACTCTTTTCATGGACCTGATCTTAACACCACTGGCTTCACTCCTTTCTTCCTCACCTGAACCACTGTCAGGTTTTCCAGCTTTTGGATCAAAGCCTTTATCCTTTTGTGGTTGAAAGACACCTAGTCAGCCTAGTAACGGTTACCTTTTGCAGTGTTAAACCAGCCAGTGGGATTTCTCAGCTTTGCAATGGAAGTTCAGAATGAAATTGAAAGCGTGTGAGTGAAAATTCCCCAGCCTGCTTGGTTGATAGTGTCATAACAAGAGAGTTTCCCTCCCACCTTTTGGATTTGGCTGCCCCAATAGCTATAGAGTTCCCTTTTGTGATGTGATGGTAAGAAACTTCACTCCACTTATGGAACTGAGGTCCTTTCTCACAGAGTGTACATCAGCAGCAACAGAGGCAGCATCAGCTGGAAGAGAAGATCCAGCTCTTGCAGCAGCAGAAGCTGCCCTTTCATGCTCCCAGTGACCTACCTCCAGAAGCGGATTTCTTGGACATCTCATATGGACGGGCAGAGAGCTCAGCTACCAGCACACCAAATGTGTCTCCCAGAGCATCAAACCATTCTGCATATTCCAGCATCTCCACATCTGATGTTGGGAGCTGCCTCTCCACTGAGCAAGAAGAGGGAGGTAAAGTTGATCACAGGGTCTTCTGTTGTGAGTCTCTGTGTTTCTCCAGTCTGTACGGTGATACAGCACAATTAAAATACTTGATGATACTTCTTAGATCAGAAAGCTGAAAAGGACCATCATTCTCATGTAGTCTGACAACTTGCAAAACGCTGTGCAGGTGTGCCATGCCCTGACTTTGAGCAGGATTATTTGCTTTAGCAAAACATCCAGTTTTTCCCCAAACTGCTGTCTGAGGGACTACGTTGTCCATGGCAGTACCTTCTTATAACCTTTAGCCATTCTAGGGAGTGCTTCATTTAAATAAAAATAAACATTATGATGATTAACTGGAGTCGAGAAATAAGGATTATGCAGTGCAGCCTGACTTCCTGCCAGATCTTCCTGTGCGTTGTTTTGCCCTTCAGAAGCTGATCAGGGGAACTGCGAGTAAACCCACTTCCATCACTGTCAGTCAGCATTTCCTAAATTCAACGAGGCATTGATGAAACTTTCTAGAGTTTGTCTGCTGAGAACCACTGGTCTCTTACACTGTGCTGAGACGTGATCTTTCCAGACCGTATGTCAGGTGTCATGTACAGAGTGTGTTTGACTCTGTGTGTTGGAGTATTGGATTACCAGAGAGTATTTGCCTACTGGGCGTGAGTACTGAAATGCAGGTGTTTATTTGTTTTGGTCATCTGTGTTGTTAATTTAAACATGAGCAAAAAGACTTTTCCGCACTGTCCCAGAAGGATGAGCAGTTGTACAAGGCTGACTTGACCCATCCCAAACCAGTCCTTGTTTCTTGTTTTTTGTTCAGATGAAGATGCAAACAGAGTGATGGTTGGCAAGATTTCCTTTAATCCAAAAGATGTATTGGGACATGGAGCTGAAGGGACAATAGTTTACAGGTAGAAGACAACATGTGCATTCAGCATTAAATAGACCAATGAATGTCTTAATTGTATTATTTAAAGAAAAAACCCACACATATCTAATATGAACAGAAATGAAACTTTTGAAAAAGTATTTTACGTGTATCTGGAATATTTTCGTGCAGTGTTTTTTCACTAGTAAAAACTACTTTACTTGGCTTAGAAATGTTTAATGACCAGATGTATCTGTTTGCAGCATGAGAAATGCTTTAATATGCCTCTGTAAAATGTCTTCTGTTGTCACTTGCTTTGTACGTGCTTTGTCTACAGCGACTGTAAAAGGTTGATGTGGTTTTGCTTCCTGTCTGTAGGGGCACATTTGATAACCGTGATGTTGCAGTGAAAAGAATTCTTCCTGAGTGCTTCAGCTTTGCAGACCGTGAAGTACAGTTGCTGCGAGAGTCAGATGAGCATCCTAATGTGATCCGCTATTTCTGCACGGAGAAGGACCGGCAGTTTCAGTACATAGCCATTGAGCTGTGCGCTGCCACGTTACAGGAGGTGATGGGTCACTTGCAAACCTACAGCATTTGTGAAAGTCTTCATCCTCCCCCTCCTACCATCCAGACTTTGAAGACCCTCCACTCTTCCACTCTTGCTTCTGGAGTACAGTGCTATATAGATTCTAGCTCTGG